TCTCCTTTTTTTTGGTATTTTCACGCAAATTCTTCTGCTAGTTGGGGTTTAGTCCAAATCTGCATCCTTTCCTTCAAGGCTCAGGGGTCCAAGATTATTTTCTGTGTCTGTGTTAATTGGTTTCCCTTTTCTTTGTTGAAGAGGGTCTGTGCAATCCTACTGCCTAGTCCGCCATCTTGCCCCGCCCGTCATGCTATTCTTGATGCAAATTTTTTTCTTTGTGTGGGCTGTCCGAAGTGAGATTTCTGGTCTAAAGAATATGAACATGATTATTAATTTTGATGTGTGGTGCTATGATACTGTGCAGAATGGCTGCACTGGTTTAGGTCATCTTCAGCAATGGATGAATGGGTCAGTTTTACCAGTGTTTGAGGGTAGAATTTCAATTATTTTGGCAACTTAAGAGGTCTAAAGTTTTGCTTTCTTTGATCTCTAGTGAGGTCCCTACACACACACCTGTTAACGTGTCTTACAAAATCTGCCTATTCATGCACTTTCCCTCTTTTGAGTTCAGGTCCCCCAATTTTTCTTACTAACCAGTGTAAAACTTTGTATAATACCAGTTATTGTTTATCATGTTTAATACAAATGTTTTTCCTACTATCTTCTTTTGTGACATTTTCTGCATCCTTTGAAATGGGGCCAGAGTTGTCTGGGGACATGTGCACATGATGCTGTGTTTTATGAGAAGAACAGACATTCAGATGAAAAACTAACTACCTTTCTTTTGCTGTGCCCAGAACATTAACCAGGTGGTATTTGTTGGAAACTTCTTGAGGATTAATACAATCGCCATGCGACTTTTGGCATATGCTTTGGATTACTGGTCCGGGGGGCAGTTGAAAGCCCTTTTTTCAGAACATGAGGTGAGCTGATTTATGTCTTGTAATATGTGGTGTACACAAAGGGCATGCAGTTCGAGGTGAAGTGGGCTGCTGTACTTCATAGGTTTTATAACGGGGTATAACTTTGATCGTAATACTCAAAAGCTCTTTCCTACCTGATTTAATGTGAGGTAGAATTTTGGTTAATTTGTGAACTTAAGCAATTTTAAAGAAAAAAATCTTAAGTGAACATTCAGCTATTTCTTATGCCATATTCTTTTCAAAACCATTTATTTTTATTTTTATTTTTTATTGTGATTTGGGTGAAGATTTACAGAGCAAATTCACTCTCCATACAGCAGTTCACATATATTTTGTCTCATGTCATTGACCACAGTTTACCACAATGCAACAGCTCCCCTCCCACTTCCTCCCCATAGTTACCACTTCCCAGTGTCCATCCCTCCATACTCTCCTGTCCCCTGAGCTGTCTCCCTGTGCATAAGCAGCCCTTCCTTCTCCCATGATTGTTCTCTCCAGGGCGTGTGTCTACTTGAGGTAAATGTTCAACTCACATGCCTGTACTTTGGCAAAACCATTTTTTATATTTTCCCAGTTTGCACTTAACTCATTAGATTTTGGTTTCTTCATGTTTTGATGTCAGTTTTTATACAGTTCATGTATCATGTATTTAAGATGGGAATTCTAAAAAGAAAAAGTAAAAAAAATTCCAGGAATAGAAACACAGTACGTAAGAACTGAGCATGTAGACAGGAACAACAAAATGGAAAAGAATTGTCAAATTGCTCAACTTGATGCTCTTTCTATTTGGGGAAAAATAGGATACAAGCTAGGGAAGGGGCTATCTCTTCTTTCCTCTCGCCTCCCCCCTGGTTGTTGGGCAGTATACATGTTGTAGGATTTTACATAGTATTGTTGTGAATATTTTTCAGAATTGCATGTGCATATTTAGCAACGTTTACATGAATTGAAAAAAATCAGGATTTGAAGTGTTACAAATAGAGGTAACTTTTTCCACAGAAACCACAATGAGATACCACTTCACTCCCACTAGATAGAATGGCTAAGATCCAAAAAAAAAGAAAATAACAAATGTTGGCAAAGATGTGGAGAAATTAGAAACCTCATCCATTGCTGGTAAACCGAAAACCAAACTTGCTGCCATTGAGTTGATTCCAACTCGGCAACCCCCATTGGGTTTCCGAGGCAGAAAATCTTTACGGACATAGATTGCCCAGTCTTCTAGGAATCCAAAATGGTTATAGCCACTGTGGAATACAGTTTGACAGGTCCTTAAAAAAGTTAAAAATAGAGCTACCATGTGATCCATCAATCACACTCTTAGGTATATACATAAGAGACTTAAAAACATTGCTCCTAACAGATAACATGTACACTGATGTTCATGGTAACACAATTCACAGTAGCTTAAAGGTAGAAACAATCCAAATGCCCAGCAACAGATGAACATACAGTGCAAAATTAATTCCTGATACATGCTACAACATGGGTGAATGTTGAAAACATGCTGAGTGAACTAAAGCCCATCACAAAAAGATGACTATTACTATGCTCTTACTAATATGAAATACTTAGAATAGATAAATACATAGAAATCAGAGTTTATTTGTGGGTCCCAGGGGTGGGGGAAGCAAGGGGAAAGAGGGGAATTTTGGTTATCTAGCACTGCTTTTCAGTGTATGGAAATGGAAATATATCAGTGGATGTTGGTGATAGCTGCCCAACATGATGGATGTAATTAGTTTCATCTGATTGCATAAGTGAAAAATGTTGAATTAATTGGCAGATGTATTACATATATTTTTACAACAATTAAAAAAAAATATCCAAAGTACATAAATTTCCCATATCAAAAAACTTGAGTTTTAGGTCATCTAACCTTTTTTAAATATGTTTTCATATTAAAGATTTGGTACCAAATTATTATGCTTCTTAGAATTCATAATCTCAATTGCTTTTTGTTTTTTAAATTAATTTTGTTGTTGAGACTATACACAGCAAAACAGACCTATTCAGCAGTTTCTGTATGTACAGTGTACAATTCATTGACATTGATTACATTCTTTGAGTTGTATACCATTCTTACCCTCCTTTTTTTGAGTTCTTTCCCCTTAACATAAACTCACTGCCCCTTAAGGTTCTTATCTAATCTGTTGCTGTTGTCAATTTGCATAATCTTTTTGTATTATACATCTTGCTTTTTGTGTTCTTTGACTGATTTTATTTTGCTTATATTGGAATGAAAAATGCTATTTAATCTCATTTTGAATATAATTTCTATAACTTAGTGTACCTTTCTTCTTGTTTAATTTCTACTTCATGTTGACCCTTTTCCTAGCAGAACATAGAGGTTAGTTTCTTAGGTTCATGCCCTGTTTTTCACTTACATCTTCATATCACAATAGCTATATGAAGAATTTTACAAAACTCTGGTTTATACTTTGTCTTTTTTTTTTCTCTTGCACACTGGCTTCATTTTTCTTTCTGGTTCGCATTGCTGGTTCATTTGGGTTTTCTAGTTGCATTCTGGCCTCTGACTCTAGTGTTGATCTCTGTGCTTATGGAAGTTTTATTATTTTAGGCTTTCTGAGTCTTGGAATTTTCTCCTTTCCACACACTGAAGTCAGCTTAACTACTGTTGTGGAAACTTTGTATAGGTTCTTCTCAGATTTTTCTCTTCCACCCTTACTTGTTTTCATCTTAGCACTTAGTAGCTTATAACAGCCTGTCTTTATCTTTTACTTGGTAAGTACATTCTAGGTCTTCAGTGGAACTCAATATAATAATTACCTTTCTCTTTGATTGTAAAAGAAAACGCAGATACAAAAAACCATATAAAACAAAATATATAGCTAAATATAAAATGAACAGCCTTGACCTATATGTTCCAGGTAAGACCAGGCATTCTGGAGTGTTGCCGGGTCTTTCTCAGCCCTGTAATCCCTACAGTTTCTGGCCTCTTGTCATAACACAGATTAGTGTGGCCAAAAAATAGTGGCAGTCAGGGCAGGCTTAAGCTTCTCTTATTTGGCCACACTAACCTGTGTTATGACAGGATTCTTGAGGAAGCTTTTCTTTTCTATATTGTGATTTGGGTGAAAATTTACAGAGCAAATTCACTTTGCATACAGCAGTTCACATACACTTTGACTCATGACAATGATTGCAATTTACCCCAATGCAACAGCTCCCCTCCCACTTCTTCCTGACAGCGACCTCTTCCGTGTGTCCATCCCTCCATACACCCATGCCCCCTGAGCTGTCTCCCTGTGCATAAACAGCCCTTCTTTCTCCCATGATTGATCTCTCCAAGGAGTGTATCTACCTCAGGTAAATGTTCAGCCATATGCCTGTCTTTTGTTTGGCTGGAAGCCACATGTGTGGGTTCCATTCCAGACCTGAAGGACAACTAGGGGCCATAGTCTCGGTGGTTCCACTAAGTTCTATCAGACCAGCAAACCTGGTCCCCTCCCCCCTTTTTTTCCCCCCAAATGATTTTGAGTTTTGTTCCACATTGTTCTCCCACTCTATCCAGGATCTCCTATATAGAGCCCCCTCCAAGTGGTTGACAGTGGTAGCTGGGCACCATCTAGTTCTTTTGGTCTCATAGCCATATAGGCTGTGGTTTGCATGGTGTACCAGTCGAGGAAGCTTTTCTTGAAAGATAGACTCAACCTTATTATATTTGAGAGAATTTTAGTACATTCTTCATCTAAACCCACAGGCAAGTCTTTCAGAGTCTTCCCACATTCTTTCTCACTCCTTTTCTTCAGCCTTTCATACTGGATCTCATGCTTTGGAGACCTTGGTGGATTCTGTATTGTTGTAGGATTCTTCCCTGATTCCCTCTGGCATTTTCTATCATTGTTGGCTTTGTCTTGCTTTCTTTTGATTTTTAGGTTATCTGTTGTTCTGGTTACCTAGTGCCACTCTGACAAGAATCTACCACAAGTGGGATGGCTTGAACAAACACAAGTTTATTCTCTTGCAGTTTGGGAGGCTAGAAGTCCAAGTTCAAAGTGCCAGGTTCTAGGGGCTGGGTGAAACCCCCTTGACCTTGGGCTTCAGCTCTGCCTCTTACTCCCAGCATCTCTTCACTCAGGCAGCTACTGGCTGCTGAGGCTAACAAGCCCAAGTTCGACAAATAAAATGGCACAGTCCTGATGTTACCAAAGCACATGGCAGGTCATTGATTCAAGTCCATTGAAAGTCCCAGGATCAGCAGAGCATGGCAGACTGCTGAACAATGACATGACTATGTGCAGGGTAGCCATAAGCTAGAGACATTCACTAAGCTGTTTCTTATGTATGGGAAGCAGACTACATCCCTAAAGCAGCTACTCAGCTACTCCAGTACATTCCACCATGGAGATAATTACCAATCTTTCCATAGGGAATTATTACATCCAGCTGCCCAGCCACTCAACCAGGCCTAGCCAAGTTGACACACAAACTTAACTACCACATCTGTTTTGGTTCTTGGTTGTATTTGACCTCAATGACTTACTTCTGGAGATGGTATGACATTTGCCCCTAGTTGCCCTTCAGGTCTGGAATGGAACCCACACCTGTGGCTTCCAGCCAAACAAAAGACAGGAATATGGCTGCTGCGTCTGTCTCATGCCTCTGCCCTCCCTTCATGAGCTTGTTGTTCTTCAGACTTCCCCCTTCACATTGTCCCCTTTTTTGCTACCTGCCTTTGGGACAGTGCTGCCCTGCCCCTCCACCCTGACTTCAGAGCCAAACTGGGTGCATCCAGTTACCAGCGGGGTGTAGCACCTTGGCTACTTGGGCTCTCTAAATCTTCCACATCCTGTAAGGAACATATTCCTCCTTCTTTTCATCTCTTGTTCCTGTATCCCTGTTCTCGATGATGTCACCAGATGCTTGGGAAGGACCTAAACCTCCTTCCTTCTGTCATTTCCCTCTTTAAGTGAGTCTTGAATCTACTCCACCTCAACTCAGTCAGGTCCTCACCCTGTGTGTGACCTTGTCCCTGTTGGCCTCTCTTGCTTCCTTAGACTTCATGCCCAATCTCATCTTAGTTACCTGGAAATGTTCTTAATTTCTACCTCTTAATGAACCTTTTCCTAGCAGAACATGGAGATTAGTTTCTTAGGTTCAGTCACCCTTTTTCACTAAGTCTCTTCATACTACAAAAGCTATATGCATATGAATAGTGTTATGAAATTTTGTGTTTACACTTTGTCTTGTTATCCACTGGCTTCATTTTTCTCTGATTTGCGTTGCTGGTCCATTTGTTTTGTGTTTTCCATTTGCTGGTTCTCATATCCTCATTCCCTAGGATACAGCCCAGGTACCATCTCTTCCCAGAGGTGATTGGGCTGGTGCTGGCCTCTTAGTGCCTGTAGCTCCCGTCGTTTCCTGTGTGAGCTCTGGCATTATCATTTATCACATGATCTGGCATGCTCTGAGTGTATTGTATGTCTAGCCCTTTGTCCCAGCCTGGGAGCGCCTTGCAGCTTCCATGCTGGCCTTGTGGGAACTCGGGAAGTAAGGGCATTGTTGCCTTTAACACTGGTAATCGTATGGTAACTTATATAAGTATAAAGAAAATTCTCTTATTTTTGGTGTTTTTTTTCTCCTCTCACCCCCTACCCCGGCCCTCCAGGGTTATTTTGGAGCAGTTGGTGCACTCCTTGAGCTGTTGAAGATCCCCTGATCCTTACCTGGGGAGGAGTCCTGGAACTTTCCACAATGGGATCTGTGGACTTTCGTTTTTTAAGAGACATTCTGTTTTATGATTGTGCATTGCCTGAATCAAAGCAAGAAAGGACAAGTGTATCTTCTAAGTTCTCAAGAGAAATCCTTAATAATTCAGTCTAATACAACCAGAAAGGATATACTTAAAAAAAAAAAAAAGTGGACCATGTCCATAGCAGTGAGGATTTGCTGATTACGTTTCCTTCAGTACCGCACAGTTCAACCCACTGTGGAACAAGCGACAGACATCTCAGCATTACTCACAAGACACCAGGCAAGAGCTGTTCTGTGTGTTCAGCTGACGGTGGTTTTGTGTCCTGTTTGAACTTGCTAAATGTAAGACAAGCTACCATGTGCTATCATCTAACCACAGTTTTGTTAATATGGCCTTGGAGATCATCTGTGCATTACTCTGGTTTACATTCAGCCTCTGGGTGGAAGTATTGAAAAACATGTTTTATTCCAAGGTTCTGCAAATTTCATTGGTCAGGTTGAAACTTGACAATTCAGCAATTCTTAGAAAGGGAGTCCCAAGCTACATTACATTGTAAACCCCAGGAAAGGTCTGTTTGGAAGGACAGGCCTCTCCTGGTAGAACTGGGGGTGATGTGGGCTGAGGTGGGCAGTACTACTGATCTCTCATGTGTGAGAACAACTAGTAGAAAAAGCACAATCTGGACTGACTAAAGACAGAAAGGACCACTGGAAGTGATAGCTTTTCAGGGGACCGTGGGGAATCTGTTGCTGCTTTCAGGCTGAGTAGAAAACTTGGACTTGAGATGCCCAGTGATTCAGTGATGGGGAACAGGTTGGGTGTTCTTCAGGGCAGTTGACCCTCATTTCTTCTGTCCTCTCCTCCCATTGTCCGGGGCCTGTCCATGCGAGGCTCAAAACCAGAGGAGAGGGCGATAGGTTTCAAGATGGAGTCTTGGTGTTGGGATTTACTTTGAACCTTTTCTTATACTGTGTAAAACAATTTAAATTCCTTCCTAGAGATAATGTAACTTTTATATCTTACATATTAGTTGGTGTCTGCATTGCTGTTGTCAGCAAGGAAGGGCCTGGATAAACTAGGCTTTGAAGGAAATCGCCAAGGAGAACTTCTGCAGCCCCCTTGTGCCCCTTGCTTCAATCTGAGCGTGCATGAGTGGGCCCATTGGTGGGCCTTCTGGTGTGGTGGGGGTTGGAGGTGGCCCTGGGACCAGGAAAGAAGATCCAGAGGGATGGGAAGGGTATAAGAGGTTAGGGCTGGGCCCTTGGAGAGGAGGTGGAGGGGCAGACTCCCAGGCTGGGCATGCATACTACCTCTATCCCAGTCCTTAGTTCTGGTTTATACTAGGCTCATGTTGGCTTTGTGGCGGCGACAGAGGCACAAACACGCTGGGTGGGATGGTGAGAGCCACTTCATGGTGGCTGCCTCATGGAGTGCATGCAGGCGGGGGGCTCTTTCCTTGGTACATCTGTGGATTGTGGTTGCTGTCAAACGGGTGTGTCTCAGGGGCTACAGAGCTAGAACAAAGCTGCAGGAATGATAATTGGGTCCCCTGGGTAGTGATTGATGGCTCCTCTGCTACTGTTAACCCTCTCAGCTGAGGCATTCCTTCATCCTGTGTCCCTCCCTCTACTGCTTCCATTTGAGCTTCTGGTGGCCCCAGTTCTTTTCCCCAGGACCACCAAAGACATTACCACCATCCACTTGTCCCTTCTTGTCCCAGAGGATGAGCACATGAACCCTCTCTTTGAGCAGATGACCTATTCTGCTGCTTTCAGAGAAGATAAGAAAAGGGAGTGAGCTGGGCGCTTGCTTGCCTATACCTCTCCCTCCAAGGGACCTGTGGGTGCTGCTGCCCCTCTGTGCTTACTGAATGTTGTGACTGGTACTTTACATGGATCATGTCATTTAACCCTTGTAACAATCCTACAGGATAGGTGCTGTTAGATCATAGTTTAATAGAAGAAAACCAAAGGCGAGTGAAGGAAACCTGCCCAAGGTCACACTGCTGAAAACAGGCAGAGCTAGACCCAAACCAAGGACCATATGACCTTCAGAGCTTCAGTTCTGAATCTACCTGATATCTTTATTCCCCCCTGCTTTTTTGTGGTGAAAACATACACAAGGCGTTTGCCAGCACAATTTCCACATTTACATCTCAGGGACAGTGATTACATTTTTTGTGCTGTGCCACCATTATTGCTATCCTTTTCCAAAATATTCTACCACCTATTAGCATAAAAACAATGCCCCTCAAACAAAAGCTTCCCCATTCCCCCTCCCTACTACCACTAATCTTTGGTATATAAATATATATGTAAATACAATGTTTTTATTTTTTTTTAATGCCTATGTAGAAATTTTCCCTCCCTGACCACCCCCCACCCCATAGCCAACAAAGTTTCCCTCTATGTATAAACCTTTACTTTTTACAATAGCAGACTAATACAGTATTTGTCCTTCTGAGATTGACTTATTTCACTCAGCATAGTGTCCTCCAAGTTCATCGACATTACATGGTGTTTTGCAGAATCTATGTTATTCTTCAGGGTTGCATAGTATTCCATCGTTGTGTATGTACCATAGTTTGTTTATTCATTCTTCAGTTGATGGGCATCTAGGTTGTTTTCATCTCTTTGCTATTGTAAATAGTGCTGCGATGAACACAGGTGTGCATATATCTAATCATGTCCTACCTCTCACTTCTTTAGGATATATCCCTAGTAACAAGATGGTTGGTTCAAATGGTATCCTATCTCCAACTTTTTAAGGAATCGCCATACTGATTTCCACAGTGGTTTACAGTGGTTTTACAGTCCCATCAGCAGTGTATTAAAGTCCCAGTTTGTTCACATCTTTACCAGTATTTGTTATTTTCTGCCTTGTTGAACTTTGCTATTAATGCTGGGGTGAGATGGTATCTCTTGGTGATTTTGATTTGCATCTCTCTCATGGCTAATGATTGTGACCATTTCTTCATGTGTTTGTTGGCTGCCTGAGTATCTTTTTTAGTGAAGTGTCTAGTCATGTCTTCTGCCCAGTTTTTAATTGAATTGTTTGTTTGTTTTTGATATTGAGGTGTGTTGGAGTTTTCTATAAATTTTAGAGATAAGTCTGTTGTCAGATAAGTCATTGGTGAATATTTTTTCCCAATCTTTAGGTTTTCTTTTTACTCTTTTGGAGTCTTTTGATGCACTAAGAATTTAATTTTTAGAAGGTACCAGTCATCTGGTTTGTCTTAGGCTGTTCGTGCAACTTGGGTTATGCCTGATAGTCGATTTATGTCATAAATTAGGGCACCTAAGTTTACTTTTCTTTCTTCTTTGATGAACTTTATAGTTTCAGGTTTCACATTTAAGTCTTTGATCCATCTGGAGTTTGTTACTTATTTATTTATTTCCTTTTTTTTTTAAATTGTGATTTGGGTGAAGATTTACAGAGCAAATTCACTTTCCATACAGCAGTTCACATATACTTTGTCTCATGACATTGACCACAGTTTACCACAATGCAACAGCTCCCCTCCCACTTCTTCCCCATAGTTACCTCTTCCCAGTGTCCATCCCTCCATGCACTCCTGCCCCCTGAGCTGTCTCCCTTGTGCATAAGCAGCCCTTCTTTCTCCCATGATTGTTCTCTCCAAGGAGTGTATCTACCTGAGGTAAATGTTCAACTCATAAGCCTATCTTTTGTTTGGCCGGAAACCACACGTGTGGGTTCAATTCCAGACCTGAAGGGCAGCTAGCGGCCATAGTCTCAGTGGTTCCACCAGGCTCTATCGGACCAGCAAACCTGGTCCCTGCCCCCTTTTTTCTTTCTCCAAATGATTTTGAGTTTTGTTTCACATTATTCTCCCTCTCTGTCAAGGATCTCCTACAAAGATCCCCTTCCAAGTGGATGACAGTGGTAGCCAGGCACCATCTAGTTCTTCTGGTCTCATAGTCGTATAGGCTGCAGATTGGATGGTGTACCAGTTGCTAGGACTAATTCTTTCCATGAATTTTGGTTTTCTTCATTTTTCTTTCCTCTGGATAAGGAGAGATGGAGTTTGTTTTTTTGTATGGTGTGAGGTATGGATCTTGTTTCAGTTTTCTGCAAAGGGATATCCAGTTATGCCAGCACCATTTGGGACAAAAACTCTCTCTTCCCCATTGAATGGATTTTGACCCTTTGATCATAGGTTGATAGATCTGTTTCTGGGCTCTCAGTTCTGTTCCACTGGTGTGTGTGTCTGTCATTGTACCAATTCCAGGCTGTTTTGACAGCTGCGGCTATATAGTAGATTTTGAGATCTGGAAGTGTGAGATCTACTTTGTTGTTGTTCTTCAGTAGTGCTTTGTTTATCTGAGGTTTCTTTCCTTTCCATTTAAAACTAGTGATTGGTTTTTCCATGTCTTTGGAGAATGTTGATGGGATGTGGATTGGTATTACACTGAATGTATAGATTGCTTTGAGTAGTACTGACATTTCCACAATGTTCAGTCTTCCTATTCATAAGCATGGTATGTTCTTCCATTTCTGTAGATCTCTTTTGGTTCCTTGAAGTGTAGTGTTTTGTAGTTTTCTTTGTGTAGGTCTCTTGTGTTCCTGGAAAGATTTATTCCCAAATATCTTATCTTTTTGGTAGCTACTGTAAATGGTACTGATTTCCTTATTTCCTTTTCAGAGAGCTTTTTTCTGGTATAGAGGATTCCAAACGATTTTTGTATGTTGATCTCGTATCCTGCCATTATGCTAAATCTTTGAATATGTTCCAGTAATTTTCTTGCACAGTCTCTTGGGTTTTCTGTGTATAGGATCATATCATCAGCAAATAGGGATAGTTTTACTTCCTCCTTACCAATTTGGATTCTTTCGATTTCCCTTTCTTGTTTTATTATCCTGGCTAGGACTTCCAGTACAGTGTTGAATAGAAGTGGCGATAGAGGGCATCCTTGTCTCGTTTCTATTCACAAGGGGAATGGTTTGTTTCTCTCCATTGAGAATAATGGTGGCTGTTGGTTTGGTATATATGTCCTTTATTATGTTGAGGAATTTCCCTTCTATTCCTGTTTTTCTGAGACTTTTCATCAGGAATGGGTATTGGATTTTATTAAATGCCTTTTCTGCATCGAATGATAATGACCATGTGGTTCTTTTCCTTTATTTTACTTAAGTGATGGATTATTTTGATTGTTTTTCTAATGTTGAACCATCCTTGCATACTGGTTATGAATCTCACTTGGTCATGATGTGTTATTTTTTTGATATGTTGTTGGAGTCTATTGCTAAGATTTCATTGAAGATTTTTTGCATGAGGAATTTTGTTATGTAGTTTTCCTTTCTAGTGTGGTGTTTTTGCCTGGTTTTGGTATCAGGGTTATGCTTGCTTCATGAAATGTATTTGGGAGGATTCTATCCTTTTCTTTGTTCTGGAATAGTTTGAGTAAGATTGTTGTCAACTTTTCTCTGAATGCTCGGTAGAATTCTCCAGTGAAACCATCTGGGCCAGGGACTTTTCTTGCTGGTGATTTTTTTTTATGACCTGTTCAAT